CGGCCAGCTGGGGGCAGCCATGGAAGGAGCTTCGTTTGGCGCGGGCCTTTCGGGGGCCGCCGTAGACCCCGTGAGCTTCGCGAAGCGGCCCCAGACCCTGCTGCGGGTTGTGTCCTGGGTGAGTGGCCACTGTCCCGGTACCTGATCCCACCCGGTCCCTCGCCCTCACCCTCTTCCTCGCTGTCCCCTCCCTCGAGGGCCGCAGGTTGGGGTGACATCACCGTGCTGGGCGCGCCCACCTGGAGCGGGGGAGGGGCTGCCGGCAACAGCCTGGGACCTTGAGAGGTCACTTCCCGCCGTCCCCCACCCCCAATTCCTCCTTAGGTCTAACGGTCCCCTTCTTAAGCCCTCGCTCCGTTTTTCCAGTTCTCATGACCTAGAAGCAGGCACAGGGGTGGGGACGGGATTCACGAAGGGGCTCGGGGAGCTGAATCTAGCACAGCCCCCTTCCCCGCCCCCCTCCCGTTTCTCTTGCACACACACCCTCCAGGCTCCTTAAAGGGAGCTGGCCCTTCCCAGGCCCCCCAGTTGCAACTGTGGGGGGGGGGGTTGATCAGGGATCCTCTGGGTGGGGCAGCCAGATGGGGCTCTACTTTGGGATGGTTGACTGGTGGTGGTGTGGGAGGGGCAGATTTTAGGGGCAGTCTAGCTTATTGGGGCGTCCCTGGGCTTGGTGGCCTGCTCCTCCTTAATACTTCTCCAGGTAGGAGAGATGGGAGGTGAGGTGCCGAGTTCTGGGTTTTGTCCAGCCAGTAAGGGCTGGTAGCTACATACTCGATGGTCTTGAGTAGGGCGGTGCCCAGTGTAGGGCAGGGGGAGTGACTCTGGCCAGACCAGGATACAGGAACCCTACCTTCAGGTCCCAGCTCTGGTTCCACTTGTGTACCACTCCGGTGGGGGAGTCCAAATCCTGCACCTCCGTTTCCCTCTTGACTCAATCTCCAGGAAGTAGGGTGGGAAAGGAGAGAAATGAAGTTGAAACTGGAGATCTTTTTTTAGAAACAGGCTTGCCCAGAGCTAAAAGAGCAGCATCTGGCTTAAAAGGATCATGGTCTAGAATTTAAAAATAAAATGAAATGAAATGACTGTGTTCCACCTCCTACCTGCCTTCCAGCCCTCGTGGGGACAGAGCGCTGACGTTGAACTGAACCCCAGAGATCAGTCCTCTCGCCTTTTGAGCCCAAACATTTATAGTCATGTGGGGTCATCAGCACTTGAGTGCCCACCAAGTGTAGAATGCTGGATGGACATTCTTTCTCTGTCCCCAACACCCCATTAGCTGGGCCTGTCAATCACGTATGATATGCTAACGGACAGGGCCACACGGCTTCTACATGCCGAGGGCAGGCAGGTTCCGTTCCTTGGAGTGTCCCTCTGCTGTGCCCCTGCCCCCTGGCCTCTCTCTCCTGGCTCCAGCCCTGCCTCCCCCAGGCTCGAGCCTGGACTCATACTCCGGAGGCTCCTGCTCCCCCCTCTGGCGTGGCCCCCACGCGGTGCACAAGACCCAGCTCGAATGTCAGCCCCTGCTCTTACCAGCAATGCGACCTCAGACAAATCACGTCACCTGTTGGAGCCCCAATTTCCTCGTCCGTAAAGGGAGTAAGAACAACGAAGGGCACCTTCGTGTTTTTCTGGGAGGATTCTATGAGCGAACACGCATAAAGCAGCAGTTTTAGGCACCGTGTCTGGGCATAGGGATGCTCTCTACACGGTACACGGGTCCATGATGACTAAATGCCGGAGGGAGGTCTGAAGGGAAGGGTGCCGCAGACCCTCACCCAGAGACGCACCCGGTGCGGTCAGGGAGCGCAGGGACAGACCCAGGGCGTGGTCGCGCGGGTGGGCCA